AAGCAGAATTTACCTTCCAACACGTTATTCTATTTATCATTTATTTAATACCCAAAGTACAAGTTCTGCTTAGTTACGAACTAGATAGTGGTGTCGATTGGTATATATTTATTATTATTAGTAGATGTCCAATAGTATTATCAATATTCTCTCGATATAGTTTTACAGAAACCTATATGCATATTATAATGTACTTGCGATGCACAGACATCTGTGAGAACACCTGATGGTTATTTATAACACAAATGATGACAGCAAAAGTTCATTGATGTTTATTTAATTTCGTGTGTCGCATATAAACCGCTTAAGAATTGTATTTTGATTTTTAATGTGGAATGGATGCCAAGTTGACAAGGTAACGTTATTCATACGAAGTCGGAAGTTCTACTTTATATTCGTTTCGTCACATGCTTTTGTTTTTTCTACTAACTACAGTGGCAAACAACCCGACGACCTACGAGTTGGATAGAGGTAACCTTAGGCTATACAGGGTAAAAATGAAATGGTTAGCATTCTTTTAAAGGATTATTCTGTTAGTGAAACTGAATATTTTCGCTAAAGAAACATGGGTCGTTAAACAAGAAAAAAATGTTAACCTCCGACACTAACAATAAAATGTAGGTAAGTCACATTCGAGTTTTACTCATGTAACTGTTAACAAATGCCTCAAATAATTTGTCAGGATTTTCGTAAATAATAAATTATTTTCATAAAAAAAAAAAAAGTGTTAAAGCGTGTTTAACAGTTGTCTAGTAAACTTCAAACTGACTAGATGGCGTTGTATTATCCGAAGCTGTTGACTATTTATTTATTGGAACAATATGTTTCTATAGTTTTTTTTAGCAAATTAGAATATATTGTTGTTATTGTGTTTGGCGTGAATGTTGAGATTCACTGAGTGAAGATATTATAGTAAACAACTTAGGTATGTTTCCATAGATATAAAGTGGATATTGACAAACAATGTTTATATTTTACTAGGTAATATTATAAATGTGAAAGTTTGTAAAGGTGTTTTGATGTTTGTTATTGTTACCTACACAAACACCATCACGCAGGTCACACTTAGTCGATTGAATGGATTTGAAATAAACGCACACAGATGGAGCATATCTCGAGATTGAAACCTAGGGATATACATGCAATAAGCAATTTTATACATAAATACATAATTATTAGTTTATATTCACAGTATTTACCGCTACCTACTAGGTTCTTTTTTCTTTGGATAAAAATTATCCTAAATCTCAAACTGTAGTAAACAATAACCGCATTAACATAAAAAAAGTTAAATTTGAGATAAACAGGTGTTTAATACATGTTTAAATGTCTTATTACAAAAGTATAATATTTGTTTATATGTAAACAAAAGAAAGTTAGTTATTAAAAATTAAAGGTATTTAAAATAATAAATTTTATTATAATAGTTTATTGCATTAACAGATTTTGGGAAAATTAATTACAAATAAATATTTATTACACTGACTGAACAGTACTTAATCACTTAAATTACTGTTTAGTTAAACATTGTTTTAAGCAAACATTTTTTTTTTTAACAATTATAAAATTCCATTAAAATTGTTTGAGCGGTTTCACATATTAATGTAAAAGAGCATCGTCAGTTCGTGATACGAGATTTTGTATTTATTAAGATATACTTGTATACTTTTATAATTTACGCAAACAAACCACGTGAATATGCAACATGTATAATTTGACAACATATACTTTTATTTTTCATTAATAACATAAAAGATTCTTAGAAAAAAATTAACAAAACTGTTATCGCTGTGTGAATACAACTGTCTTTACTAGCAAGTCCCTTGCCAAACTGAAGTGAAAAACCCAACTGGCCATGTCAACATTTACTCGACAAGTGTCATCAGCGAGAGATCGACAGGCTCGTTCGGCGCTCTCTACGTTTTCGGGAGGTCATTGTGCGCCTGGGGTGACGTCACCGGTGACCTTGGCGCGTTCGCGTCCTGCCCGCGCTCACTCCCCCCCTCTACAGTGGGTACGCGTGAAAAATGTTACTGTCAAAATAATAATATGCACGCATGAAAATACATGCTATTAACATAGCCATTAAGTACATATTCAACTGATTAAAGAAAATCTGATTCACGATTTACTTAATGGTAGATGTTTGCAATACTCGCTTGTTTTCGAGTACATAATAATTATACCCTTCCAGTGTTAAAGCGTAATTTATTCTTGCGCTTTAATTTAAACGCCGCCTCTCGGATTAATTAGGTTTGTTAAGAGCATTTACTATCATTGGTTGAAAAAATTGTTCAAGTGTTATTGTCGGTATCTTGGTCTCATTCTCGTCTCTTCTCTCAATATTATCATACAAATTATTGTTAATACATACATTATTAGAAAGTAAATAATTTAATCAATTTATTCAAAAATAAGCCGCAGTCCACAAACTTTCTTAAAATAGACATTTACCGACATTGAATTAAATTTGTTTTCACAAACAATTTATATCTAAATTTGGTCGTTTTTCCGTGTGGGTGGCACCTTCTCGTGAGAGTTTCTAAGCAGCTATCGTTGTTCACAAATGCCTCGTAACGTTACTTGTTTGCATTTCCAATTACTTGCTTCAGTAAGTGACAATCATTTTTAAATGTTCAAAGTAGGATAAGATAGGTACGAGTAGAGTGTCTCCATAGAAATGCTTCGAGAAAAACTGAACAACTTTTTCATACAATTTGCGTGATAGTTTATGATTTCTTTATAACTTCTATATTTATTTTGTCTTCATAATAATGCATCTTTTTAATGCGTAAATACTCATATTATTTATTAAATAATACGTCAAGATACATTTTATACATAAATATATAGAATACGAATAAAAAAAAACGAGTCAGCTAATTTGATAATTAGCTGACAAAAAGTTGACCCTTTTTTAGGGTCGATGCTCTAAGATACATAAGTATACCTATGTGTAGTCAGGACATAGTAGTACCCATCTGGTTGTAGCTTAGTTTTTGACAGTTAATATGTACAGGTGTTAAAATGCACAATAAAAGAATGTTTTAGTGTGGACACATTCTTACTAATGTTTAAAATGAGAAAATTTGTATAGTCCATCTGTCTGTCACATTTATAAGTAAATTATAAAATTTAATTAGCTGAGTGTTGTTGTTAGTTTTAACTTCGAGAATGGCCAGGTATGCCATAATTGTTGTAATTTTATGTCATGTTTTCAGCCTCACCAATTATAAAGATCTGATCATTTATACTTTGACGACGTATTTGATAAAAATGATATAGTGAAATGGACGACGAAGGCGTAAAATGATACATAATTTTCTGAACGGTGTAATTTTTATTCGGTCCTTCGAGCCGGAGCAGTTTCTTTTATTAGTAGATTAACCGACAGCAGAACAATCTACTTTCGTCCCGTGCTCGAATTGATAAAACTTTCGAAATGATTTAACTATATCTATGTCGTGAGAAACAGGAATATTCATAAACTCTATAATGATAATTGAAACCCTAGCAGTAAATCAAATATTTACAAAAAGAAAACAATTATTCTATCAGTTGTTTGAATTTCGAACATTTTCTTAAACACTTTATGGTAGCATCATAAAAATGGCGCAAGATACAATTTGTAAAGTATAGGTACTATTTGTATTGCTTGCATAATTAAGTAGGAAAGTGAACCGAATATTCATGATTTCAATGACAACGCTTTATAATTTATCTGTACTTTGGATGCCGCCCACCAACCCTAGCTTCCAGATATCCGAATAAATTATATAATTTATATTATAAAAGAACCTTTACTGTAATTTTATTGAAGAGAGTTTAAAAGAAAAATCAACTTTTTATTACGAATTTCGGATGTTAATGTATTTCTGTGCAATTTACAAATAATAAATTGTGTAACCAATTTTAATTTCCACCTCTCGTTTAATTTGGACATCATGTAGTTTGTTAAAAAAAATCGAGATGTTATCAAAAAAATATTTGCAGGAACTAGAAACTGAAATCAGGTTTTTAACTAATATACATATAATAAAATTAGATAGCATCAAAAGATCGAACACTTAAAATTATTATACATTGATAATTTAAGATTTTTCTTCGTGGGAAAAGAGTTTTCAACCATTCATCTATCGATAAGAAATTCCGTAAAAACGATTCTTAATGGTTAATATTGTAGACTCTCGTTTCTTTGATGAATTATTATCAATTCCATGTGTTTGAATATATTTTTATTTATTTTTTTATTCAAATATGTGTACATGGCGGACTTAATGCTAAAAGCACTCTCTCCCAGTCAACTATAGGGAAGTGTCAGAATACTCGAATGCGGTACTACTAATTATTGATATACATATTAAATTTGTTTGTTTATATATAAATAACCAATATATTTACACATATATGACATATACTATATTATACACGAAATTGAGAATAATATAAAACATAATATTGTATTTTATAATATAATGAATCATGATTCAATCACTGCGGGCTATTGGGTTTTGTTTGTTGTAATACAAAGCAAATCAATAATCAAATAAATCAGCCGGCCGCGGCGCGCAGTCAAGCTGGTGTTCGCGTTACAATTGCTCATGATTAAGAGTCACGAATTGATCCCGAAACTTGTCGAGCTTTCTCAATGTAATTACACGTAAATTAAACCGGTAGTTATTACATTAAAACATAAAATATGCCAATCATTGTGGACGATGATCCAACTATTGCAGCCTATAGGTTTGTGACTAACTAATATGTTTGCTGTAAAAAAAATACAAATCATTGTGAACCATAACCATAAAGAATTATGGTTCTATTTGCTGTAACGAAATATAGCAAATACAAAAATAAAATTACCTATAATTATGGACTTGACTGAATAAGCACAGATCATAGGACTATAGTCAAATATTTTCGTCTACAATAATTTATATTTTTTTTACAATATTTAGTCATTGTGAAGTTATTTTATTACGAATATGAACACAACTTACCGTTAATCAAGGCGAATCCGTCTGAAGCGTTGGTGGAGATCGTCAATATAACACTGTATCTGTGAACAAAAATTACTTGGTTTATTAAAATGGTTTTGGGTTACAGAAGAGTGTTATTTGTATTACTTACCGAGTAATATATTACACAATACTTATGCCTGATATATTTATTATCTGGTTATGTAAATAATTTTTGAAGTAAAAGAATTATTTACACAAAACGAGTGTGTAAATATTAATGATGATGTACAATTCAAATGCTTTAAGTAGGGTCAAGTGGTTACCAGTTGATTTTTTTTACTCATCATCAAAAAATATTTTTTTAAAACCATCAAGTATCGTCGAGTACAACATTTTTAAAGATCCTTACCAAAAACTTATTCTGGACCGATTTCAATAATTGTTTTGATTTATTATCCACAGGATTTACTCTTATTGATGTTGGTACTCTACTCTCTATTGTATGACAACAATATCTAATCTTTCTTATGAAACGGTATGTAATGAAAGAACACATTGAAAGATTGATTTATGAGGTAAACTTTAAAGATAAATAACCAATAGCAAATTACGAATAATGCAAGTATAACACGAAGAAGATTTATCCCAATATCTTTGGAAATATGCCCAGAGTAGATTTTTACTTTGTCATTGCCAATCCCTGACTACTTGAAATATGTGATTGGCAAAATCCTCTCTGTCACATTCACTTGATATTTAGATAGAATAATATTTTGTTTAAAACATATATTGTATTAATATCAAAATTTTCAAAATATCCAAAAACAAGGTCTTATTATATGAAAAATAAGAGAAAAACAACATTATATTAAAATAGAAGTATTACGTTTACTGTTTACGATCCAAGGACAATAACCTGACATAATAACAAAAATATTCTACCGGTAGTACTTTTTATACAGTTCTACAATTCATCGATCTTTTTTTATTTTGTTTTTACTTTTACAAATAATAATAAGTGACTACAGATTCAGGCATAAGGAGTGTTATGTTCATCATAATCGCAACAGTCCACAAATATCTTTGGATAGTCCATTAGCGATTAAATATATTTGTAGTATTTATTTATTTTATTTTTTAATTATTATAATCCCAAAATAATATACTGATATCAATCTTAACAAAATGAATATGTGATCATAATAGTTGAATGATATCATCACATTCCGTTTCATATTCACAATTAAGTAAGCTAAGATCGTAATATAAAAAATGTCCTGAATTTACAATTTCTTTCTAAAAAAAACTTTTTTCTTTTTAATCAGCTTCGCAAGAAACCGATTAAAAATTAGTTTCGTAATTAAGTAAATTCGAAGTTTTCAAAGTATGCCCAAACATTTTCGGGATCATTACTAAATCCTTTCAAAGGTATGGAAGAAAAATGTATAAAAAAATATTTTCTATCTACATTTTTAGTGGAAAATGAAACTCTAGTCGATCAACATCCATCTTTATCAGTCACCCTAAAAATTCCGAGAAACGAAAATGGAACAAACTTTATCTAATATTTTCATGTCAAGTTCAGTCTCGGAATTCGGACAGTCATCTGTTTTTTTTTTCTTATTTTTAAACGAATACCGGAAACTTTATTTTTAAAAATTCTTAATTAAATTCAATTAAAATGAAAAAGAAAAAAAATTATCTACAACGAACGGCAAACAAGTTCACGACATTTGGTGAAAATTGTTAACTGTTACAAACAACAACAAGTATTATCAAAATCAGTTTAGGAGCGTTGAAGCTGTCGCATAAAATACGTACAAAAAAAAATATGAATACAGTATAACAATCATTGTACCAACACATACGTAGCTTAACTGGAAGAGAATGTTACTGGAATTAAATGCATCTTTTGTACCATATTTAGTAAATCAAGTTATTTAAATAAATAAATAAATAAAAGTCTTACAAAAAATCAGTGAAAATTATCTCTTAAGCGACTTCGAAGTCAATAATATACAAATATAAAATAAAGTTCACGTTTCCACATAGAATAGAAATTAGATCAATTACGAATTAAAACTTATTATACGAGTACATATTACGAAGGATGAGCAGCAGCGTTCCTTTTAAAATATCTCCAAAGCCTAACTGCGGTTGCCAATCCGCCTGCTAAGCGTGGCAGCTACTGACAAAACGCCACAAGGCCTATGTTCAACAGAGGACAGTTAACGGCTGATATAATAACAATGACATTTGTTAATCTCTATTTCTATATTAAAATTATTAATGCAATTCTAAAAAGTTAATGGTATCCAAAATTAATTATTCAATGTACCTAACATCAGTTATAAAATTTCCCTAATCCTGTTTCAGACGAAAGTAATGTACTTATGTCCAATCAGGGAGCAACTGACTTTATTATGCTAATTACTAACTTCGTGACTGCCAATGTCATTAATAAATTAACACTTGCAAGTCAATTACCTTCTAAATACTGCTTGTACAATGAATTGTCATATATACTCGATTTAATTTAGTTTATTGAATGTTGAAGTAGGCATAACAGTCTTCGTATCAGTTGGATGAATATGCGAATATTGCTTTGCTCAATTTTAAAGATATTTTGTATTGCTTTTAACTGGGACTTTGTTCACGTGACCGTGTCATACAGTACGTGTATTTTTCATAATAATTGGTTAAGATGTCAAAGTGCTAACAGGTTACAAACAAACAAACTCACTTTCACATTTATCATATTAGTAAGCATGCTTTTGAGGATTAAAGACTATGCCCATACGTCGTAAGCATCCTTTCTAGCAGAATCGAGAGAACCTTGGTCGTCCGTATACACTTGATTGTTTAAAACATCCCAATAAATCTGAATCTTCGCAAAGATATGAGTACAGTTTGATACTAAGAACAAATACATTAGCAAATTGGAAAACTTTATATTAATGACTCATACTTTACTCCCGAGGACATCTTTGGGAAATACATAGCAACTCGTTACTCGCATCAGACTGAGTGTGCTGAGATTTATTGCTGTCGTTATGGGCACGATGACAACTTTATGTGCTGAGGTGGAGAGGTGCCAGTCATATCATGTAAACACGTGTTGGTATTTATTACTGAATATAAAAAAAAAAAACTTAAGATGAGGTTAAAAAATTCGAAATTAAATTTTCTATGCAATTTTTTTTATGTAACTTAGAATGACAAGAAAGCTAATAGCCCACCTGATGGAAAGTGGTAACCGTCGCCTATAGACATGAGCATTACCATGGATATAACAGAGAATATTGTTTCGCCCATGATACCCCCATGCGTTCCTTTCCTGAGGACTCAGGTGCTATTCCTCTGTAAATTCACTGCCATATTCCATCCTTCAAAACGAAACACAACCATGCAAACAACTGCTTCATGGTAGAAACAAGATTGGGACAGAGGTGCCCAAGCAAACGACTTTTGTACAAAATCTCCCTCTGGTAAATATTAATGCGATGAAAAATATGTGATATAATATTATAGTTAATAAAAAATACTGGTAGGTATATGGTGCTGGGATGGATCGCTAGTGCAAATATATAATACGTAAATAAGGCATAGCAACGTTGTATTTTGTATTAAGCAATAGATAAACCCACTCAAACTTCCTGATACGGAACTTGAAATTATATTGAACATGACTGTCGTCCATTTAACTTTATTTATTAGTTATTAGTATAAGTAGGTCAAATCTCGCAAATAACTTTGATCCACTTCTCGTTTGAATTTGATTAAAATTTGAAATAAACAGAAATACTTGTTATATAAATATATTTACATATAACTACGCCTAATTTGGAAAACTGATTAAGCCAAATGAGAATACAAACTGTGAAATTTATAATTTATATCTAATAATCAAAGAAAAAAAAATTAAAATAAATATTAAACATATAATTAAATATATCATAGTGACCAAACCAGATTAAAAGTATAAGTCCCTACAACTAGCATCCATTCCCGAGTATGATGGGGATATGTATGAACTGAATAATTTTGCAATTTGATAATACTAAAAGTTGTACAGTATATGCATTTAGAAGACGGTTGTAAAATACGATGCAAACAAAATATCAGCACAATAATTGCATTAAAAACTCGGATAGATAAACGATAAAATCTTTACTAATGTTATAAATGTGGAAGTGAGTTCGTTTGTTTGTTACCTTAAAGCGTGTTAATGGATTAACCATTTACTATCAAATTTGGTATATGAGATAGAGAAAGATATAGGATACTTTTTATCTCAGTCAGTAAACATACTCGTATCTCAGTCACGTGGACAAAGCCGCCAGTAAAATCTAGTTTCATATAAAACTGTACTGTACTGTAGGCAGATACTAATCAAATTCAAGAATGCACTTAATATGCACCCAGTAAATTAGTTTCTTTAAAAATAAATGCGTATTTCAAGGCGTAGAAATAATGTTTTATTGGCAGAGCTTTGCACTCTGGACGCAATTAACGCTTGGCATTCAGAGCACTTACTTTCCTCTGTCATTAATCTAAAGATGCGTTTGCATGAAGTGTGAGGTCAGCGTAGAGCAATATTTTATTTTTATTTTTAATGAATGATAATAGGATGGTAACCCCGACTGTGCTATCAGTATACGCTGGCGGGGCACCAGTGAGACCCAATTATAGATGAGAATGAAAAAGCGGGTCAGTTAACCCATTGTAATGAATACACCTGGCATTAGCCGGAATACAGCTAGTAATAGATATCACTGGAACTTCAAACTAAGTATAGACAATTCCTTTTTTAATTCTTCATGCAAACAGAGAACTTTTAATAAGCATTTAATCAATTTTAATAGGATAGCCCAAATGGATGAACCTATTTCAAATCTGTTTGTATAATTATGTATAATAATAACAAATTTTAGCTAAATTGGAGTAGGTCTTGTTTACAACAAAAAATATTAAAAGTAATATTTATAATTTCATACTAAAACTTGGCGAAATAGTAGGAGAGGTAAAACTCAGATGCCAGCAACTCGCCTCTATCTAGTTGACATTAAATCAGCGCGAGTCGCTGACCGCTCGCAAG